CCACTGTATCATCCATCCATCCATCCATCCACTGTATCATCCATCCACTGTATCATCCATCCATCCATCCACTGTATCATCCATCCATCCATCCATCCATCCATCCATCCATCCACTGTATCATCCATCCATCCACTGTATCATCCATCCATCCATCATCCTTCCATCCACGGTATCCATCCATCATCCATCCATCCACCGTATCCATCCATCATATCCACCCATCATCCATCCACCGTATCCAGTCAGTCAGTCAGTCAACATTTGCATCAGCAAATTGTTAATGCAGACAATTTTTGTAACGCACGTTAATACTGTCATTTTCCTCCTTAATTTGTCCTCAGCGTCTATGAACACGCACACACACACATACACACACACACACAAGGCTTAAAGCACTCCGGCTGGGGTGGTGCTTTCCAGCTTGAGAGCGAGACAGGGTCCGTCTCAACAAGGATTACATCCAATCATGTTGAAGCTCGTGTTGTCGACCAATTACTAACAGGAAGGCGGGTCGTAGAAAAGCAAGCAGGTGGATGTATGCAGCCTCGCTGTCAAATCAAATGTACCATGGATTTCCTCACACTGGGACAAAATACAGTTTTCTTGGAGAGTGTAAATAAAAACAAGTGGTGCTCTGCCTTCGCTCTAACTGGAATGAAGCAGCATCTCAGCGATTCCATTTTAATTTATATCAAAAGTACAGACTTTAAGCTACGCACCAGTTTTTAGATCATGTTGATCGTAGTCTTGTTAGCAGGTCCAGTCAGAAAGTAATCTGGTGTGGTAGTAGCTGAGAGTCATTCACAAGGAATGCTTTTAATTCTTCATGCATTTTTGGACCAAGTGATTGACTACCTGACACTGTCGATCAGCTGCTGATGCTCTTCTGTGATCAAGATGTCAGGCAGAGCTTCAGCCAGACTCTCCACATCCCTCTCTGCAGCGTACTGCTTGAGCACCTCAAACAGCTGTTCCTTCACATCTGGCTCTTCCTCGAGCACCTCCTCCACCTGCAGGATAAATATAAAGTTACGTTCTGCCATAAAAAAAACAATAATGATATTTGTTGGAGACGTGTACAGATTCAAACCCACTTTCTTGTTGAACTCCAGGGCCTTGTGAGCGCGACTCTCCCTGACGCTGTCTCCACTCTGCGACAGCACCCTCATGCTGCTGCTCAGCCGCTTGGGTCGGCGAGCCATACTGAGCACGCCCAGACGCAAAGGTCGACCCTGTGCCGCTTTGATCATGGCTGCAGCTGTTTCGTGGTGCTTCACAGGGATGCCGTTGACCTCCATGACGTAGGCGCCAACTTTGAGGCCGCTGTGTGTCGCCGGACCTCCAGGCATGCACTCCTCAACCATCAGAGGACTGTCGCCCACAATGGTGAAGCCAAAACGCCCGTCTGGGCCTGGGGTGATGTCAATCTGAACAAGAGTAAAAATATATGCTGCATGAGTGTACCTGCTACGAGTTTTATACAACAACCCCAACGCTGCAAAAGTTGGAACATTTGTGTAAAATTAAAAGAATAGAACGTAATGATGTGCAAATCTCATAAATTCATATTTTATACACAGTGGAACATAGGAACATATTAAACACTGAAACTGTATCATTAAAAACTATATATATATATATAAAAAAAATAAAATTAAAGGTAACTTTTTTTTATAGTAGCAAAAAATTAACCAAAATAAAAATATATAGTCAGGACAGGGGGAAACTAAAGTGGTACAAAAAACCAGACGAACATTTCGAAACTTATCCGGTTTATTGGCAACAGGCCAGACGAAGGACTGGGTATACAAAGAGCATTTTAGAGATTCAGTCTCAGAAGTAAAGACGGGCAGAGCTTTACCAGTCTGTGAAAATCTAAAAACAGAACCATTTTAGAATAATGTTCCTTTAACAACAAAGTGAGAGGACTTTTATTATCTCATTATCTACGCTTCATATCATCAACAAAAGACTTTGAGAAGGACAAGACTGAAAATAAATATCGGATGCTCGTGATCTTCAGGCACAGCTTTAAACACTGGTCTGATTCTGTTATGGACTTCCCTGGTGGACTCAGAAACGCTTCTACAAATCATTGTCTGCACACAGTTCTCCGAGCCATCCACAAATGGCTGGTTAAACCTCCATTGCAAAAAGGAGTAGCCACACGTGAACAACATCCTGAAACTCAGAAGTCTTCTCTGAGCCGTAGTTCATTAAAAATAGGTCAAGCAAAAACCGTTCTGTGGTTAGACAAATCTAAATGTGAAATTATTGTTGGAAACCACAAATGGCATGTTCTCCGTACTAAAGAGGAGAGGGACCATCCAGTCTGTTATCAGTAAACAGTTCAAAAGTCTGCCTCTCTGATGGTATGGGGGTGCATTAGTGTCTGTGGCTTGGATAGCTTACACATCTGGAAAGGCAACATTAAAACAAAAAGGGTATACCAGTTTTAGAACATTTGCTTTCGTCCAGATTGTCTTTTTAGTGAAGGTCTTGCATATTTCAACAAGTCGTTGCTAAACTGCATACTGCCTCCATTACAGCATGACCTAGTACTTGAAGAATCCAGGTGGGTGCTGAACTGGCCTATCTGCAGGCTAGACCTGTCACCAAGACAAAACATTTGACCCAGGACTGCTGAACAGCTAGAACCCTAAATCAGACAGGAACAGAACACTGTCCCCTCCAAACACCGGGCGCCTCAGCTCCGAGATTTTTACTGACTGTTGTTAAAAGAAGACAGAAATTCTTACTGTGGTCAACATGGACCTGTCCCAACTTCCTTGAGACATGTTGCTGCCATAAAAGTAAAAAATACCACTGTAATTAAAAAAAAAAGGGTCACAATTTCTAAATTTGATGTTCAATATTTTTCATTATGAATAAAATATGGGTTTATGAGTTTTGTAAATTGCATTTTGTTTGTATGTATAATTGACTCTGTGCACCAATAGTTTTGGAGTTGGTTTTGTACTTTAAAAAACAAAATATGAATTATTGACCTGCTCGAGCCGTGACACGACACCAATGCTCGGTGGTACCGTCTTCAGGGTCTGAGCCAGAGCGATCAGAGCAGGTGTGCTGAGGTTGGTCACGTCTTGGCCTTCAATGTCCACCACCTGGTCGCCTGGTTGTAAGCCAGCAAGGTAGGCACTACTTCCCTCCACCACGGACAAGATGTAACTGGGCCCGGTGCCTCCAAGCCGGAAGCCAAAGGCCTCCGGCCAGTTCTGGTTGGTGGCAGGGAGGCCGAGGACTGAAAGAGACGAGAGACGGAGAAAAGCAAAAGATTCATGCGTTTCTGAAGTGATGTCGTCCCTTTAAGGTTGATCAGTGTCTATTCTAAAAACACAAATCACGCATTGGTTTAAATCAAGCAGCAAGATGCCATGACGTGGCAGCAGGATAACCTAAAAAAAAATGTTTGAGCTACAGCTTGTAGGTCAAATGTGACCAAGAAAAAAACCCTACAAGTTATTTGTGACCATTGGTATCTAGACCACATGTTGAACCGCTGGCCTTCCCCTGGTCACTGGCCTCATTCTTCTCCTGCAGAAAAGTGTCTCCGTGACCCATTTGATTTCATCCCTCCAGTGCAGCCATGTCCATTTACAGTATACGAGGCTGTGAGCACATGCCAATACATTTTAGATGTTTGTGTTCTTAACTCACGGATTAAAAACACTTGCTCCTAAAATAATCTCTTGTTCAAGTATCTTCGTCTCATATGCATTGTTTTGCATTTTTTTGTGTTTTTCTTTTGCAGGACTGCTTGAAACAAAGCAGCTCGGTGAATTAACAGAACAAAAAAGTGCTTTAACAACTAGGGTGGAGTGTGAATACAAAAAAAAAAAAATGTACAAGTAAAAAATAAAACTACAGATACATTATACACAGATACAGATACATATTGGGGTGTGGTGGCACAGAGGTTAGAGAAGGTGGGTCTGTGATTGGAAAGTCACTGGTTTGACTCCCAGGACCGACAACATCAAAACGTGGGTGGGAAAAGTGAAACACCCACACCTGCCAACACTCATTTGCTCCACTCTGGGCCCTTGAGCAAGGCACTTAACCCCCACCATCTGCTCCCAAACAGGTCTCTTTTGAAAACAAGTCCTTGTGACTCAATGAGACTACCTGAATGAATGCATGAACGAATAAATAAATAAATAAATACAACTAACTAACAAGTGCATTGTGTTTACTCCTGCAGATAATCAGGGACACAAAGAAAAAGAAAACGGCAAATAAAAGTTTAATTACAAGGAAAAACAAAAGCTAAACAAGAGTTGGGGATGTCAGAAAAATCAGATCTGACTGGAGCAGAGGGCTAAATATACAAAGTGAGATGAGGCTGACTGGACAAAACACTGACGGCTAAACTTCATGTCAAACTGTCAAAAAGAATGAAATCTAAAACAGATTTCTGACACGGAGCTGCAACCATTTTTTTTTCCTTCTAACCAACTTCTTGTTGTCCTGGTTTCTCCAGCCTGCGACCCAGTTGTCTGCTCCGTCTACCTTCAGAGCAGATGAACTACATCCAGAACATCATGTAAAAAATGACACTCACAGAAATCTTTGGAAGCGCTCCGGGTCCCGGACTTGCTCTGGCGCAGGGAGAAGCGGCCCTTCCTGCTCAGGAAACGCCTCATCCTCGCCCGGCTTGCTGCAGGGCACGTTCCAGCCAGCCTTCCTCTTCACCCCCAGCCTGGGGGGGTCGACGCAGCCACAGAGTGCCCCTCGGACACCCTCCGTGCTGCTCCACGCTTAAACCAGCTCGCTGCCACCTAAAGCCTCCACCCACCCGAACAGTACAGCGGCCCAAGGGGCTCACATTGGCGAGGTACTGGGGTCGAAGCTTCCCCCGATTTTCAGTCAGAGCGAGGAGCTGACGGAGGTCAGAGGAGTCAGACTCTCCATCCTGGGTGAAGCTGACCAGCCTCACCCTCAGCCAAAACTCCTATGGCTGAGCAGAGAGCACAAAACTGGGACAAACTCACTTGCTCCTGAAATGGTTCATTGCAAGAAAAGGTACTGCGAAGCCCCATTTTTCTATAAATACCATTCCCTCTCTCACTCCCACCCGCTCTCCCCCCCGTCTCCCTCTGTTGCTCATGTGGATGAAGGCCTCTCAGAGGGCCGAGGACTGACCCAGAAAATGTGTGCTGCGCCAGGCAGGGACACTTCTGATTATAGTGTCTGTGTTAACCTCAGTGCTGGAGCACCAGTCTGTAGATGGGCTCAAGGTTATACGCACCAAACGTTTCAGCTGGGCCAGTGAGCTGTGGCGCATTAGAAAGCAAATAATATCATTAAACCAGTAACGTGTTTTCTGTACGGCAATTAGTGTAAATGTAATGACAATTTGTTCCTTTCTGGATGCAGTAAATGATGCTCTTCTGTCAGCTGAACATGAAACCATAAAGAAAAAAACTATTAAAATGAGCTATAATCTAAAGGAAAACATGACACATTATTTATTAAAATGTAAAGAATTGTACATCAAATGTTAAAAAATAGAATTTATTTCATGTAAACTGTGTTTGTGTAACACTTTGTTTTTACATCGCATCACCAGCGTACCTGTCAGGTTGAAGGACACATTCTGAGTGTCCGGCTCAGAGTGGGAAAGCTGCATCATAGACGGCCGTGGACAAGCGGGCGCACGCATCAACCTTCAAAAAGGGCGTCGCACTTAACCTTTGAGATAAAAAGTTTAAAAACATGACGACTGTGGCCGAGCTTCACGACAACCAGAATGGAAAGAATACAACAAAGCTGCACAATCCTAGGCAGTAGGAGGAAAAAAAAAAAAAAAAGACAATAAATTAGGACAAGAATAAGCAGCGTTTGTATCAATAAATGTTATTGATCAGGTCGCTTGTTTAAATTAACTATGGGTTAATAATAATAATAAGTGCTGTGTTGTCATCATGTATGTTCCCATACAATGGCAATTTAGTTCTCTGCATTTAACCCATCACAACTGGGATGCACCCAGGTGGAGCAGTGTGCAGCTATGTGGGCGTCCGGGGAGAAATTAGGGATTGAGCGTCTTGCTCAGAGACACCACGACATGTGGGAGTAGCTGGGGATCGAGTCTGGGACTTTCGGGTCCCGAGCCAGCTGCCCCATCTCAGCCCCCAAAGGTCAGCCACCATGATAAAATGAATACAAAACAAACGCAAGGTGGAACCCATTCTCTTATGTAAACAATTCACGTATATTTATTTTTACGTCTGCGTCCAGCAATCTTAGAAACACTTTGGCTTTTGTTTCATAATTAATCTTTTCACACGTGAAGTTCATAAACAAACTCAGTTCAGTGTTAGCTTCCTCTTTGATCATAAAACTAGAGTCTGAATCTCCACCTCCTCTGGAGACGTGATGACATATTCCTCTTGCTGCTGCACCATCTGTATCCCCTGTTCCACTGCGTCCTCTGTGGTAACCATGGTAACAGTTCCCTCTGCCTCCTCCACGGTACCTGCCGTGGCCAGCAGCGTGCCGTCGCCGATGGCGGTGGCGAGTGTCATGGCCACCTGCTCCGTCAGGTTCTCCGGCGTAGCGATGGTGATGGTGTCGCCGCAGTCTGTGATGGACGCGCCCTCCTCGTCCGCCGCCACGTTTCGCACGATGATTTGGTGGCTGCTCGTGCCGTGCGACTGGCTGACGATTTGCTGCACCACCTTCATGATGTGGTTTCCCACCTTGGAGGAAGAGATTTGATACGTTGGATGTCACGATACGTTCAGCAAACTGTACACGCTATCGTCATAGATTATGTGCTCCACGTGTGAGCATGCTGACCTCATTCTGTCCATCTTGAATGAGTGTAACTTCTTGAATTTCCTCCTCCGTTTGAGTCTGGAAGATACAAGAACAGCAAAGCAGGTGAAGTTTTTCATGGAAATCCATGTGACTGGACAGATTCTTAAAAAAACAACTTAAAATGCTGTGAAGATTTTTTTTAAAAAGCAATAAATATTTAAGATTCCCCCTGCCAGGAATTTTTCAGACTGATTACAAAATTTTCAGTTTATGGAAGAATTTGCATTTACTTATTAATTTTTATCAGTAAAATTATAAAAATAAGGTTTATTTTAATAATTTTACTGATATAGTAATGCCAGTTTAAATATTCTTAACATACTTGTATCTTCTTTAATACACTCAGACAAAAGTGTCATAATTTGACATCAAGTTCTTCACTCAAACCACAGCTGCCCCGATTTAACCAGAAAGCTTCAAGTGTTTGTTTTTTTATCACTGTCTCCAGAATCGGGCTTTCACTGTGTAAGACAAACACACACATATTTAGTCTGTCAGATATTTGGGGTTCATACACTTGATTTAAATTTGTTTAACTCTAAATACCACACTCGTGTGGCACTGGCCAATAAATTGCAACGAATAATCATTAAACCCACCTGAAGGCAACATTTAAATTATATTTGTGTGAAGGTTTATGAAGCGTTCACACTTTTGTGATCAAAGTTTTTCCCGTATGTTTTTCGTCTCACATTGCTCAAGCTATTTCAACAGATCATGTATCAAAACGTTCAGCTCTTTCATGACGATCCTGACATGACTTATAGTATTGGTGCAACTTTAGCTTTTTGAAGTATTTAGCCTTTTCTGCCATGTTTTTTTTTTTTCTCATAGAAAATGAATTGAGCTCATTTTACATCTTTCAGATCTTTAGATCCGTTTACAACCTTTTACTGCTCCTTTCACGTTTTGTTCTGGTTCAACTTCTTTTAGCTTCATTGTGCAAATGAAAAAAAATGCAGCTACTTTCAACTGTTTTGTGCTCCTTTCAGATTAGTTTCTTCTAACTACAACATTTATGTGCTTCTTCTAACTTCTTTCTGCTAATGTTATGCTCTTTCAGATTATCTATGCAAGTTTCATACATTTCTGCTATTTCAGCTAATATTCAGCTCTTTTTATGATAAATTTAGCTTTTCTGGCTAATTCCACATTTCCATGTTTTGCACCAACTTCAACTTTTCTCTTTGCTCTCTCCACTTCTGGTGATTTTAGCTTTGCTCTGCTTTTACAGCTACTTTTCAGCAGTTTCTTTTATTTTTCTAATTTCCGATAATTTAATGATTTTTATGCTCATTTCTGCTTTTTTTTTAGCCTAACTGGGCAAACATGTTATTTCTGCCTTTTTCTACTAATTTAAGCTTGTTCTACCTTTTCAGCACCTTTTTAGTACTTTTTCTTTTTAGTTATTTCAGCCTTTTTCAGATAAATTTGAGTTTTTCATAATTTTTCTACTTTCAGACTAACTTCTTTCCAATTTCAGCTTATTTCTGACAGTTTCAGCTATCTCAGCTACTATTTAGCTGTTTTTATGCTAATTTTAGCGTTTTCAGCTAATTCCACAATTTTTTTTTTAGCTCAGTTCAGCTCTTTCCCCTTCCTTCTGGTCGTTTAAGCGTTTGTCTGCCTTTTCAGCTACTTTTTGGCTATTTTTATTTCAATATTCATTTCAGATTTATTTGTGCGGTAATTTCCTAATTTTTGTGCTAATTTCTGCTTATTTAAACCCAATTCAGCAAATATGTATTCTTTCTGCTTTTTTCTGCAAAATTATGCTTGTTCTTTCATTTCAGATAGATTTCAGCTTTTTTAAGTTAATGTCAGCTGTTTTTCAGCAAGTTCTTGTGCAATAAGCATTCACACTGCATTTCCCCAGAAAATGCAATATTTCTAATTTCATTAACGCTTGCTTTGAAAATGCTGTCACCTTGAAGATATACTCCTGTGTGTCTGCCACCACTGAGGAGAACTCCACCAACACAGCGTGAGGATCCTCTGCGATGACAGTAGCTGTGGTGAGACCGTCCTCTGAGGTCTGGGTTTCTGTTACAGCATCTTGTTGTTCACTGCAACTTTCTTTCAAGCAGCCTCCTGATGTAAAAAAAAAAGATTAGGTCAACATTAATTAATTTAGCACTAATTGACACTATGCATCATAGCAACCTTTAGATCGCCTGTGTCGACTGAGAGTCCCGTGCTCGGCGAAGCCTCGTCCGCACTTCGAGCACTTGAAAGGCTTCTCTCCGGTGTGATGGCGGATGTGTCGCACCAAAGAGCCTTTCTCTCTGAAGCCTCTGTAGCAGAACTCGCACACATAAGGTCTTTCATCAAAATGAGTCCGTTGGTGAACTTGTAAGGCATTCTGAGCAACATAAAGAGACACGTTAAAAATAATTTTTAAAAAAAAGTCTCAGCATAAACTTGTACAACTTAAAAATATACATCTTGGGCAAAACATACATTTTATTTATTTTATCGTTTGTTATCACCAGAATCACCTTGGTCTTGTATCCTTTGTTGCATCTGCTACAGTGGTACGGTCTTTCATCGGAGTGGGCCCTCATGTGTTCACGGACGTGTGCGATTGTTTTATACAGCTTGCCGCACTCGCCACACTTATACCTCCTCTCACTGGCGTGGACTTCCATGTGTTTTCTCAGCAGGTAACCCGTTAGAAACTCTTTTTGACACAGCGTGCACTTAAAGGGCTTATGACCTGTACAAAGAGGAACAGATAAGCAAAATATATTTAAAAGACTTAAAAAACTTTCTCAAATTACAAAGTACCCTATTTTCTGGGATATACGTTGCACCGGAGTATAGGTCGCATCGGTCAAAAAGATGAAGAGGAAAAAAACATATACAAGCCGCTTCAGAGTATAAGTCGCATTTATTTAGAAGTGTCTCGTGCTAGAACAGACATTTAATTTGAAATAACAATAACACACAGGGGCTGATTGTCCACCAGGAGCGACGGAACATTTCCCGGTGGCCTGGCCTGCTCAGGGGTCGCCGAGGGACCGGACTAAAGGCTCAGTTCGGGTTGAGCTTTATTATTTGAAATAAACAAGCCGCTCTTGCCCGGTCTCACTCAATGTCTCAGTGATGCTGCAGCAGCTATGGGGAAATAAAGACGCCCCCCCGCCCTGCCCTTCCTGTTGAGTCTGCCACAGCAGAGACACACAGTTTGCGCCCCCGTGGACTTACATTCTCGACAGTTATATGTTTGCTTACGGCACATGCACACAGAACATACCTGGGATACTGAACAGGCTTAATTAACATAAACCAAAGAGTCTGACAATCAAGTTACCGTCCTCGGTGTCGCTTCTGAACAACTCTGTTAACTCCGGAGGAAGATTTTTGTGTGTGTGTGTGTGTGTTGGGGGGGGGGGGGGGGGGATAGGGTCGCAGAAGATGAACATCATATAGTTTTCAAAAGTCTAGAGAGCCCTCTCGCAGCTGCAAATGGTCATGTTTACTCTTTGGTTCATATCAGTACAAATGAACATTTAACATGTCATTAAAAAACTACGTCATGAACAGAGAGAAAAAAAAACGTATACAAGTCGCTTCGGACTATACGTCACAGGAATGACCAAACTATGAAAAAAAGAGTGACTTATAGCTCAAAAAAATACAGTACTTGTTTTCTAGATTGATTAGCTGCTTTCCATTTGTCATTAAGTCAGTGAAGTCAAGAAGTCAGTGAGTGCAGTAAACTAGGATGGATACGTAAGGCGGGTGTAGAAGAGTGGCAGGCGTTTCTTCGGTTCACAGTTTGGACTTACCTAAATGACCTTTGACGTGAAAACGGAAATAACTCAAGCCTTTAAATGATCGGTTACAGTACGGACAGGTGTACAACTTTGTCGCCCGATCATCGCCCGCTTCCTGACCAAAAAAATGAAAGAAAAAAGTTTTATGTTTCAAGACAGAGAACTCATCCAAATTTACATTTTGACTAAATTATCTGGATTACAGAAAGTGCATGAACATCAGCACCAGCTGTTATTCGTGTACCTCCTCAATCTTCGCCAACTCTTCTCTAACTTGGATCTCAAAGACATTCTGCTCAGCTTCGGGCTGGTCAGAAACAACTTTATTAATCTGCTCGGTCGTCTGTGAGGCCGCTGCCTCCTCCTCCTCCTCCACCACCGTCTCCTCCGTCCCCAGGGCAATGCCAGAGTTGATAATGGCCTGGCAGATGAGGTTGTCACCAGCAGCAGCAGCGGCGGCGAGAGCTTCTGCCTGAGACTCCTCCACGACCACCTGATCAGACCGAAGCAGCAACTTAAAACAAGACTTGGGACAGAAGTGAAAATGCAGAACTCAGAGCGCACAGCCTCACCTGTTGCTCCTGTGTGGTTCCATCCACCTCCACCGTAAAGTGAACCTGACGCAGGACCTCTTGGGAATCAGTGTTGACCACGCTAATGACAGCAGTCTGTGTCTCCACCATCTCCTTCTCCTCCTCCTCCTCAGGCTGCTGCTTCACAACTACCACCTCCTGTTGGGTTGTGGCTCGATCAGCTTTGACGCCTGAATAATTAGCACAGGCTTGAATTTAAATTGCTACAACAAATCCAGCTTTGATTGAGAAGGAATGTAAACATTGACTTATATATAATTAACCTTTTTGCATTCCATCCTTGCTGACCAATATTTCTTTGTACTGGACAAAACGAATCTTCTCCGTGCAGGGAGTCAGAGATTTTAGATGTCTGGTGAGAGCTCCAGATTCCCTGAAGGACTGTCCACATAGGGAACATCGATACGGCCGCTCATCTGCAAGAAGAAAAAAGTGCTTAATTTTGATCAGAGTCAAATTTAACAGTGCTGCATGATGACTGCTTACTGTACCAGTGTGACGGCGGTTGTGGCGTATCAGGGAGCCTTTGGTGCGAAATGAGGACGAACAAAGTTCACATGAGAAGTTCTTCTGGTCACTGTGAGTTTTTATGTGAGTTCTCAAGATGTTCGTCTGTGGAGAAATACAGGTGAAAATAGAAACCGTTACAGCTGACTCGCTCACAGCCTCTTACTGAACGCCCAAAATAAAAAGTATCTGCTCACAGTTTTAAACGTCTTTTCACACAGGGAGCAAATGAAGCGTCCCACTTCGTTGACTGTGTAAGTCATCCTGTCACCGTCAGCCCCGTCAGATGTAAATCCTACACATTGATCGGACTTTTCAGCAACTTTGACCGAGGCGACTTTTTTCCTGTGACCCCGACCCAGCTGAGCACCGCTTTCATCTGGGTTGAGACAGACGAAAGAGAAAACCGTCTAAGATGAAGCACGTATCTGACAGTAAGTCAAGAAAAGCAGACTAGAAATAAATGATTAACCAATAAATCAATAAATGAATGTGCAAAAAGAATGGATTACTGTTTTGGGAATAATTTTTTTTTTTTTAATAGTCACAAGAAAACAGTTGAGTGAATAATTAAAAATCCAAGAATCCCAACTCTGAAGAACACCAACTTGTTATTTTTTGGAATAAGACTGAATAAATGATAAATGAATAGAAAAACATGTATAAAATATTTTCCACCTTACTCAATGCACAGAAACTCTGCCCTTCAAAAACCTCTAGGATCATTTTGTTGTCGCATTTTTTGTGAAATTGGTTTTAAACTTTTACTTTTTTAAATGTTGATTCAAAATTCAAACTGATTTTTTCTTATTCTTAACTTTTTTTGCAATTTCACTTTTACTGCATGTTATTTTAGCCATTCTCATAAAACGTTCCCCTCGTTCATGAGAATGGTGCTGACTTCTGAATTGTTTTCTAAATACTTAACTTTTTATTCCTCCATAGAAAGACACCGAGATCTTTTCAATTTTTTTTTCAAAAACACAGTTCTCTTTGTATACTTTGTTTTTACCTTCTTAAGCTACTTATAGCTTCTAGCTATCATTCTTCCACCTTTAGCTTTCAGATAGCTAATACTTTTAGCTAACCTCTTGCTACTTTGAGCTATTGTTCTCCTACACAGCTTTTATTAAACTTATCGCTACTTTCAGCTAGAATTTTGCTGCTATTTTAGCTTCTCGTTATTTTTGCTAACTTTAGCTTTTGTATAGCATCTCGCTACATTTAGCTAGTGTTTTGGCATTGCTACTCATAGCTTTTAGCTAGTGTTTTGTTCCATTTAGCTATACCAACTCAGTTCCAGCTTCTTCAGCAAAAAATGTTGATGCTTTTAATTAATGTGTGTGCCAAATTAATGTTGGTGCTTGTGATTCGAAACAATTTCTTTGCATTAGTATATAAATCATCTTAGAATGTAAGAAGGGAAAAACAAAACAAGTTGTTATTTTTCCACAGTGAATTGTGTGGACGAGAAGAAAAATGAGAAAAAGAACTATATTATCAGGATTGTTGACCCACCGTCTGTATCTGTGGTTCTCTCTGGTTTAACAGGGGATGCACCTTCAGCTGATTTCACCTCTGAGGAAGAACTATTAGCTGCAAAGATCTGGGGAAAAAATTCAAACATCTATGTACTGTATTGTGCTCCTTCTATATATACTGATATAAAGTCACGCAGCTAACACCTACGTTGGCCTCCTGTCCAGCATGTTGTGCCTCCAGCCGTTTGCAGCTGTGCTGCAGTTTGTGCTGGATGAACGCCTCGAGGGTGGAGAACTCAGACTGGCAGCGTCCACATTTGTGCACATCATCTAAAAAATTTAAAAAAATCAAACACAGACATTTCACCGTTACACATTAGTTTGAGCCACATGCAACTGTGCAGACTTCTCCAATTACCAACTACGTGCACCCTGGATTAAAGACAGACACGCTGAGGCAACAAATCAGCTAATGTCGCTTTTGTTAGTTAGCTGCTAGCAACATTTCACCACGGAGGAAGTTAGCTCGGCCCAAACACGATGGCGGAGAAAGAGTTTGGACTTGTTTGGTTCCGTCAGAGGACTAACCTTCATCCCCAAGTGTAGTCTGGATAGTGATGGTCTCGCTGCCGTTCTTCTCTGTCTCTGCCGTAAGATTATTTTCCACTTTCATGTCGTTTGAATTCTCCGTCTCTGTCGCAACGCTGCAGCGGGAAGGGAGGGAAAACATGGCGGATTTACGACCCCGTAGTCATAACAACAAGAGGGCGCAGGCACAGTTTGACCAAATTCAATACTTTTATATATTTTAGATTAAGAATTCAACGGGAAAATAATAGACATACGGAAGTATTTTTTAATTTTTATTCTTATTTTTCTTTAAAAAAAAATAAGAAAATAAAGTCTGCTCGTTTAACTGAAATTGGTGGCAAGTGGGTTTATCATATAATAGACAGGATCTGCAAAGCAGATGTCAAAAATTCAATTCTCAATTAATCTCTAAATTCGATGACCAAAAGGAACATTTCATTTATGTACAAAGATACAAATGTACCTTGTCGCTCCTAGAAGAACCCTGCAGATGTTGGATGCTGTCTATCATGGTGCACTTAGATTCATAACTGGCTGTGATTATCGTACCCACCACTGCACCCTGTATTCACTGGTTAACTGGTCATCATTAACTTCACGCAGACTCTCTCACTGGTACATTTTCATCTTTAAATCACTTCTTAGTCTGCTGCCTTACCTGTCTAAATAAAGGTTGCATGAATGAATGAATCTCCTCCTACATGTCTCTGCGTGAGTGCAGCTACAGCGTGCGCTCTCAGGACATTATTACCTGCAGTGTCCCCTCAGTGCAGACTGAACTAGGCAAAAGGGCCTTCTCCTACTCTGATCCTGTTTCCTGGAATATCTTACAAAAAGATTTGAAGCTCTCGACCTTGACCTCTCAAAGTGGCTTTAAGAATCTGTTGGACTCCTGGCAGGGACCAATGCAGACATGTTCCTGTTTTTAGTTTTCTACATTCACCTTAGAATCTAGCTGTTTGTTAGTTTTTTAACTTTTTTTTTTTTAGCCATCATATTTGTTTAAAAAAAAAAAAACTGGAGTATGACTTTTTATAACTGTTTATTGTTGTCATCATTCTTTGTTGAAATCAGGTCTCTCTTGAAAATGAGTCCTCGAGGCTCAATGGGATTTACCAGTCTAAATAAAGGTTGAATGAAAAAAAAATTCTGTCCAAGGACAAACAAAAAATAGGACAGGTTTATTATGCATAAAAAGAAAGTCATGCTGGATACATTAATTTTTATTTGTCGAGGAAGAATGAATATGTACCACTATGTTCCACTCTGAGAAGGTGCTATTTATAAGACTGAGCTGAACAGCACCTCAGACTGAAGAAGTCTTTCGGATGAAAGACGAAACGTTTCTTTCTTTGTTGTTGTTGTTTTGTTTTTTGAATGTCCAGACGACCAGACTTAACATTTTTAGATTTTTCTACCTGGATTATTGAGCATGCATCAGGATAATTGATATGTACATTTTTCAATACACTTCCAGTCTAGGTGTTAAACATGAAATGGTCAGGAAAATATTTGATCTCTTTAACTTTTTTAACTTCAAAAGGTTTGAATGCCATTTGGACAAAAATTAAACGTTTAAAAAAAAAGACGTGTAATTTCATTATATGTCCCAATGGTCTGCCTTAACCTTTACGACAGAAGAATAAACAACAACTTGACGGCAGTAAATATGGCTTCTCATTTCAGTGGTGTCCTACAGCTAACAGATCTCGATGATTTTATCACTCCTTCTCAGGTCAGTCATTGAAGCTACGGGAAAATATTTGTATATAATTTATTTAGGGAAAAGAAAGACGTACAAAACAAGAGTTATCCTGCCAGACACATTTAGGACACGAAGGGAAAACCGTGTTGAGTTAGTTAGCACACTTGACGTTGTCCTTAGCTTCTAGCTGCTTATATGTGAGAAACTTTACATAAATTAAATATATATCGATTCATTTTGACTGGAGCTCGATATTAATCGATGTTTGTATGTTGGTCGGTCACACCACTTTGTAAAGTGCCTCTTTTTATAAGCACGCTTTCTCATGATAACAGCGAGTGACGTAATTACGTTGTAGTCACGTTCGAGTGAAATTTAATAACAAAAAAAGAGTTTTAAAACGTAAATTTATATTAAACCAATTAAGTTTAGTTAAAAATGTTTAAATAAATAAAAAAGGACAATAAATGTCAGTTAAAATAAGATACACACTTGGAACAAGTTTCAAACATGATGTAAAGTGATCTCACGTGACCTAAATTAACCAATGTAAATCGATTTTACCACATTAAAGCAGATGACAGCTGTTTGGGAAAATCACACATGATGTAAAAATAAAATAAAATTACAAGATATCTTCTGATGCATGCTCAATAATCCAGGTAGATAAATCTAAAATAGTTAAATCTGGTCCTCTGGACATTCACAAAAACAAAACAAACAAAAAAATTGTAGAAACGTTTCGTCTTTCATCCGAAAAACTTCCTCAGTCTGAGGTGCTGTATTCAGCTCAGTCTCTTAAATAGCACCTTCTCGTAGTGGATCAACCAGTTTGCTGCTGACAACCAAAACCAGCTGCTCACATGGTCAAGAAGGACCATCAGCCTAACAGTGGATCATTAGCACCCTGATGGCTGTTTACTACTCACAGAGGGCTGAGTGATACTAGCAATCACAGCATTGTAAGAGGGGGACAGTTGAACCCGGAGGCCTCCACCCCTGTTTAATGATGGACGATTTATTTTCATAAAGATGGCCTCCTTTACTCCTCTCTCAAACCATCGTTCCTCTCTATCCAGGATGTGAACATCCCTGAAAGAGTGACCGCTGGCCTGGAGATGAGTGTAGACCACAGAGTCCTGGCCTGATGATGTTGATCTTCTGTGCTGGTCCATCCTTTTGGCCAGTGGCTGTTTAGTTTCCCCGATGTAAGACTGATTACAGCCCTCCTGACACTGAACAGCATACACAACATTACTCTGTTTGTGCTGGGGGGCTGGATCTTTGGGATGAACCAGTCTTTGCCATAATGTATTTTGGGGTTTAAAAGCCACTGGGATGTTATGTTTAGAAAATAAATGTCTCAGTTTCTCTCATATGCCCGCAACATATGGAATGACCACTGGTCTGGGTCTGGGTTCCTTCTTTCACACGAGAAGATGTAAAAATGGCAGGTTGGCTTTCTTGGACTGTGAGGTCTCAGTCTCTGATAGAGGACATTTGCAAACTGAGGTGTACCACAAACCCACCCACACAGACCAGTATTTGCAGTTTGACTCCCATCACCCTTTGGAGCACAAGTTAGGAGTCATTAGGACTCTGTACCACAGAGCAGACAGCGTCACCACTAACTCAGGAGCCAGGCAGAAGGAGAAATCCCACACAAGACAGGCTCTAGAGCAATGTGGATATCATAACTGGGCCTTCCTGAAAGCAGAGAAGAAACCCAAACAGGACTCCAGTCAGCCAACAGGTGAAAAGGAGGAACCCAGACCCAGACCAGTGGTCATTCCGTATGTTGAGGGGGTATCAGAGAAACTGAGACGTTTATTTTCTAAACATAACTTCCCAGTGGCTTTTAAACCCCAAAATACATTACGGCAAAGACTGGTTCATCCCAAAGATCCAGTCCCCCGGCACAAACAGAGTAATGTTGTGTATGCTGTTCAGTGTCAGGAGGGCTGTGATCAGTCTTACATCGGGGAAACTAAACAGCCACTGGCTAAAAGGATGGACCAGCACAGAAGATCAACATCATCAGGCCAGGATTCTGCGGTCTGCACTCATCTCCAGGCCAGCGGTCACTCTTTCAGGGATGAAGATGTTCACATCCTGGACAGAGAGGAACGATGGTTTGAGAGAGGAGTAAAGGAGACCATCTTTGTGAAAAGAAACCGTCCATCATTAAACAGGGGTGGAGGCCTCCAGGTTCAACTGTCCCCCTCTTATAATGCTGTTGTTGTTAGTATCACTCAACCCCCTACAAATGAAATTGAAATACAGCACTTCAGACTGAGGAAGTCTTTCGGATGAAAGACGAAACGTTTCTACTTTTTTTGTTTTGTTTTTTTTTGAATGTCCAGAGGACCAGATTTAACTTTTTTAGATGCAGGATATCTTGTGAGTCCAAGTGAGTCACCAAATAACTTAGCATCCTTATTTAGGGGGTGGTGGCTCGGAGGTTAGAGAATATGGGCCTGTGATCGGAAAGTCGCAGGTTCAACTCCCCAGAATGAGCACATCAAAATGTGGATGGAAAAGGTGAAACACCCACACCTGTCTACACCCTCATTTGCCCCACTCTGGGCCCTTGAGCAAGGCCCTTAACCCCCACCATCTGCTCCCAAACGGATCTCTCTTGAAAATGAGTTCTCATGACTCGATGAGACTGTCTGTATAAATAAAGGATAAAAAAATAAAATATTACTTTTTACAGTCATAACAGTGCCTTGACCAGCAGCAGATACATTGTTGAAAAAGAGCACCACACAAGACATTTTAAGTAGTTTCTATTGCTGTTTCAGTCAGTTCCTTATGCTAATAAGGACATTTAATGAACCAGGGCTTTACACATGAGAAGCCATGATTCTTTGGAGAGAACTGCACGTATTTTTATTTTATTTTAAGTAACAATTTTTTGGGTGTAACTGGGACCTTCAGTACATAATTTCGTTCCACCTCATGTACCACGTTATGTAAATGACAATAAAGAACCTTGAACTTGAACTTAAAATCATTTTTGCTTCAATATCCTAATAAACCAAACACATTTTCTTTGATGATCTGCTTATGACTGTGTTTAATAATGCGATATATATTTAAGTGTGGAAAAAATGAATCCCTTACCTACAGTGAAACATGGTGTATAGTATATTTTAGTATATGTTGCTTATTCTCTGTCTTCTTTTGGCACTTACTCAGATTTTTCCAATGCTTCTGGATCAGATCTCATCCATAAAAATAATGATGAATGTCACCAGTATTTTGTTTGCTTAGACAATTAGGTCTGTTTGTGTTTCAGGAATGTGTAAAACCAGTCAAAGTAGAGAAGAAACAAGGTAAATCTGTGGCCAAAATACAGATAGAAGATGATGGCAGCTATGTACAAGTCAACCAGGTGGGCTTGGATTAAAAAAAAAATCTGTTTGTGAATTCTTAGAGTTGCCTCAATCTAAAGTTTTTCCACTCTGCATTTGAAGGATGGTGGAAAACAGAGGCTGGAGAGGGCAAAGATAACACTGAATGACTGCTTGGCTTGCAGCGGCTGCATCACCTCGGCTGAGAGCGTCCTCATCACGCAGCAGAGTCACGAGGAGCTTTTAAAAGTGCTGCGTAACAACAAGGTGGTTACATTTCTGGGGTTTTTTTTTTATTCTTTTGCAGCCTTTGTAATCTGAGCTGTGAATCTATTCCAAAATGCATTGATTGGGACTCCTGTACAGGTCAACGAGAGAGAAAAGAAGACTGTAGTTGTGGCAGTATCACCACAGTCCAGAGCCTCTCTGGCAGCTCATTATAACCTGAGCAGCAGTGAGGCTGGCAGGAGGCTCACCACATTCCTCAAAGGCCTGGGTATGTGTTTTTCTGTTTTTATAAATTGTGCAGCTTTCATTCAGACTCAGCTTTTTGAAGATTGTTGCTGGAAATGTTTCTGCAGGTGTTCATCATGTGTTTGACACCAGCTTCAGTCGGACCTTCAGTCTGCTGGAGAGTCAGAAAGAGTTTGTGGAGCGTTTCCGTCGACGGGAACGGGACAGCAAAGCTCTGCCCATGCTGACATCTGCCTGTCCAGGTATCCAGCCAAAAAAAGACCCCCCCCAAGCACAACGTGAAATACTGTATGTAAATGTAATTTTCATTTCTCTTCCTTCTTGTCCTAAATCTTCTGTGTGTGTGTTGTTCAGGATGGATCTGCTATGCTGAGAAGACCCACGGGGACCATATTATTCCGTACATCAGCACCACTCGCTCCCCGCAGCAGATCATGGGTTCTCTGGTTAAAGGCTATTTTGCAGAACAACAGGTGTTGGATTTGGGTTCCACATAAATAGATGCGTGTTTATCATTAAAAATAAGCTAAGGTGGATGTTGGGTGTGTTTTTAGGGTCTAAGTCCACAACAAATCTACCATGTGGCTGTGATGCCTTGCTTTGACAAAAAACTCGAAGCTTCGCGTTCCGACTTCTACATGAGCGAAGCCGAGACCCGCGAGGTGGATTGCGTCATCACTTCAGGTGCAGAAGCTGCTCTACTAATACTTGTTGTGCGCATGAATCTTTGCTCGTATTTATTTTCCTTCCTGCGGCAGGAGAGGTTCAGAAAATGCTGGAGGAGGAACACGTGTCTCTTGCTGATGTGAAGCCCGCGGCCCTGGATACTCTGTATGTTCTGTGCATTTTCCCTTCTTTATTCAACATCTGTTCACCTAAAACAAGATGGTTTCCGTAGGTTCAGCAGCGTGTGTGGGGATGAGTTCCTGAGCCATGCTGGAAGTGGCTCCGGGGGCTACCTCCATCATGTGTTCACCTTTGCTGCCAAGCAGCTGTTTGGAGAGGAGTTGAAAGAGCTCACCTACAAAACGCTCAGGTGAGCACGTCTACATGAGTCTCATACATGGTCATTAGGCCTACTGGATCTATCATGACTGAATTTATCAAAGGACTTGATTGTTTTTTTTCCTACTTGTTGGCCCAGGAACAAAGACTTCCAGGAGGTGAGACTGGAGAAAGACGGTGAGGTCCTCCTGTGTTTTGCCTCGACGTATGGCTTCCGCAACATTCAGAACCTCGTGCAGAAACTCAAGAGGGGGAAGTCGCCTTATCACTTTGTGGAAGTTATGGCCTGTCCATCAGGTACAGTTAAAAAATGCAGCTTTGCAGAGCTGTGATGAGTTCAGAACCTGAAGCTTGTCATGTAAAGGGGGTCAATAATATCTGCAGGCTTACCAGAGCATTAGAATTTAAAACAAAATGGTCAATTAATCAGGTTCAACATCCCAAAAGAATGAAGGCTGCTTTTATGAGTCCCCTTCTTGGGAGAATATCTATATCCTCATCTTAACATTGCTTGTTCTATGTCCCCATGACTAAAGAAAACCTTAGACATGAAGAAAACCTACCATGGACACAAAAGTCTGCTCAGGGGTCAGGATCAAAGGTTAAGATGCTTGGCAGACTTTATTAACAGCAAAAATAACAAACGTGGAGAGAAAATCAGAAGTTACAGTTACCTCGCTCTAAAAACTAACAAGTGAACAAAGCAAACTGTCTGTTAAGACTCGGTGTGTCCGAACAAAACAAACGGCAAAGTAAAAGCCCCTCCATCAAGTACAGCAGAGACTTGTATCAGATGCAGTGGTGGGCACAGCTAATCAAACAGTTAGCTTCGCTAACCACTAAGTCGCTAACTAAACATTAGCTTTGCTAACGCTAAACCGCTTAACAGATTAAAAATAAATAAATTACCAGAAGCTAAACACTAAAGTGCTAACTTTTATCATTTATTGCTGTAAGACTGTGATGTGACAACGTAAGTGAACACAACTCAAAACACAAATCACAAGTAGAGCGTCCGTGTCCTGTTCAGAGGTGAGCTTCCAGAATCTGGTCCGTAGGAACCAAAGAGACAGAGCAGAACTCTGCTGTGCTGAAGTAGAGTGATGCATTCAATGTGTGTCGGACATCTCCCTTGTGTCATTTACTATAATAACTATAACTCACTTTAGAGATCCTCTTTGTGGTTAACTACTTTTATAAACTAACTACAAAGTTGCTGTGCATCGTCATCAATACTCTCAGTAATAAATCTGTATTAAAGTAAAGATGTGTGAAATGTGAGCCACATCCCAGAGACGGTGTGAGTGTTGCAAAGCATGCTGGGTAGGAATTATGTGTGCAATGTTTCTGAGTGTGAAAATGGGTTTTCATGTTATTTTCCCATTCTGGTTTCTGATGGCTGTAAACTGACACCGTGACTCAGAGGCTGTTTGTGGTAGATATGGTGGGTGGAGCATTGTGAGGGTGGTGACATCACCGGGTGGTGCTTAGCCCTGCGTAGCATAGCATCACTCCCTGTAAATCACCATTGTACTGTTTGGTTTTAGTGCGAACAACAGTCTTTCAAAATAAGACGCATTTCCAAAAGAAGTTTGAGCCCCTGCAGCTTGATTTCCAGGAGCTTCAGAGGTGCAGCCAAACATTCCTCTCTCAACAGACACAGGAGCTGTGTTTGGGATTGATGTGTTTGTGAATTGTTCATTTTAGAGCCTAAATGAAAGCTCTAACTCTTCTTTATCCCGCAGGCTGTTTAAATGGAGGTGGGCAGGTGAAGCCTCCAGCTGCTCAGAACCAAAAAGAGCTTCTTCTGAAAGTTGAGGAGCTCTACAAGGCGGAGCGTCCTCAGCTGCCAGAAAACGACCCTCGTGTGTCCGAGTTGTACCAGAGCTGGTTGGACGGTTTGGGTCAGGAGCGAGCCAAAGAGCTGCTGCACACGCAGTACCACGCTGTGGAGAAAATGACTAACGGGCTCACCATGAAGTGGTGATTGGCGTCTTTGTTCTGCAGAGACGCCCGATAATCGTGGACATCTGTCTCAAAGTGTGGACGTATTTAATGTTAAATCACTTTTTTCCTGTTTGTGTGATCAAATGGAAATCCGAATCCTTTTGGCTCATAAATTATGTTCATATGTGTTTTGAACTCCTCATTGTCTTTATAATTACTAAATAATTCACTTTTCTCTGACAAGTAACTTTGTTAGCTGACCTAATGCATATAATTTTTTAATAACTGTATAGAAATACTATATGAAATTAAACTTTAATTATATTTGTGTGTTATAATTTGTTTAAAACAGAAAAATCTTCAGTTTCGAGTCAGAGTGACGTTTATTGTGTAGTTAGGGGCTCTTCTACAGTTTAGGAGTAAACTTTGGGTTAAGAAGCAGCACTTCACATTCAGACTGATTCACTCTGACAGTTCATAATAAACTAAACACACAGGTACAACAGGTAAGATATTGACCGGTCATATACTTTTCATAGAACCCTTTTTAAACTGATGCAGAATGATGCACAGCTGGTGGTGACTAAAGGTGCACAGTGGGTTTCTAGATGGGGAGACAGACAGACCTCGTGTTTGTTTCTTTTTTAGATCAGTAAACAAACAGCCCCGCCCTTTTCCTGGATACAAATGGAAGCAGCTCGTCTGGTCTCATCAAGCCTCTCATGGTCAGTCTTGTGTTGCGATTCTTGCCAAGCATTGATTTATTATCCTCGACGGCTTGAAATCAAACGATCTTCAGAGCTTAGAAACGACTTCAGGGTCTGAGAAGCCCCCACTCCAAGGCCAACATGGCGTGAGGAGGAAGTCTCTCCTTGGGCTTCTTGAATTTATCCATCTCCTTCCGCAGGACCTCCAGCACCTCTACAGGGTCCTCCTTCTTTGTGAACTTTTGCACTGCTTCCTCCCTGCAGTGTACAGTTGGGTTGTAAAAAATGAAAACATCCCATGTGGAAATTAAAGCTCAACAACTTTAAACAAGTATTGTTTACCTTAAATAAATCCTTGAAATTACCAAATAATTTCAAAGTTTTGAACAAAGCCCGACAGCTACAGTTTTAAAGGTTAAAACTCACGAGAGGCGAAGATACGGGTTATAATCGAACTCGTCCTTCAGCGTGGACGGCACAGTGGGTTTGTCGTCGTCATCTCTGGCCTGAAGAGACAAGAAAGTGTCAGAATTAAATGTCCTGAGCAATAAATGGAGCAACATCTATTAAAATGTACTGAATTGATCATAGGAATGCAAAAACAGAAAAAAAAAATCATTTTATTTATGACAAGCTTAAATCTGTTCTTGAAACGTTCTGTAATCCACAAAGTTTGTTTTCTCAGTCATCCAGGTATATAACAACAAAAAAGGTTGAATCATGTCATCTGGACTTCGTTTTTTTGTTAAAAAGAAACGTTTCGCCCCTCATCCAAGAGGCTTCGTCAGTCTGAGGCCTAGCCATCTGGTATTACCCAGAAGCCACCCTGACTCTTGTGTTTCAAGCCTGCCTCAGATACCCCTGAGGTCTGGCCTTTTCACTAATGGTTTCAAAAACACAAAGTTTGTTTTCTCAATGAGAAGAAGTCTGAAGTCATGCTGTTCCATCCCAGTGGCTCACTCATGAACTATGACATTGACCTATTCTCTCTAGCCCCGCTAGAGAAACAAAAGGTGACTAATCTGGGGGTGATAATGGACCCGTCCTTAAAACTCAACAGTCACGTAAACATGATGGTCAAATCCTGTTTTTTTCAGCTGAGACGGCTGTCTAAGCTGAAGCCTATACTCAACAAAAAGAACCTCGAGACAGTGATCCACGCCTTCATAACATCTAGGCTTGATTACTGCAATTCACTTCTGTTTGGAATCAGTCAGTCCTCCATTGCTCGTCTACAACTGGTCCAAAATGCTGCAGCCCGATTTTTAACTGGTACAGGCTATAGAGAGCACATCACGCCAGTTTTGGCCTCCCTGCACTGGCTACCCATTCACCTTCGGATCCATTTCAAAACTCTCATGTATGTTTTTAAATCACTGAACAGTTCCGCCCCATCCTATCTCACTGATCTTCTGCAGCCATATGTCCCACCGCGCTCTCTGAGGTCAGCTGACCAGATGCTTCTCTCAGTCCCAGAAACCCGTCGTAAGCTCAGAGGTGACAGGGCTTTCTCTGTTGCAGGTCCACGACTGTGGAATGAGTTGCCACTGAGTGTCCGGCAGGCTCCCACACTCTCAGTCTTTAAGTCTTGCTTGAAGACCCACTTCTATTCGCTTGCCTTTAACACGGTGTGGTTTGTTTTGGTCCGGTCTGTTCTCTACTCTGTTGGCCATTTTAGTTAGCTCCTGCTGCTATTTGTATCTGTATTTCTATTTTATGTTTTCCTGTCTGCTGTGCATGTTTGTTTCTTTTGTACAGCACTTTGGTTGGCCTTGTTGCTGTTTTAAGTGCTATATAAATAAATTGGTATGGTATGGTATGGTATGGTATGATTCAACCTTTTTTGTTGTTATATACCTGGATGACTGAGAAAACAAACTTTGTGTTTTTGAAACCATTAGTGAAAAGGCCAGACTTCAGGGGTATCTGAGGCAGGCTTGAAACACAAGAGTCAGGGTGGCTTCTGGGTAATACCAGATGGCTAGGCCTCAGACTGACGAAGCCTCTTGGATGAGGGGCGAAACGTTTCTTTTTAACAAAAAAACGAAGTCCAGATGACATGATTCAACCTTTTTTGTTCTGTAATCCACACATCCTTACTCAAAACTGTAAAGTGTCATATCTACACACCCCTTCTGCTAAAACATCTTTTTTTTTGCCTTTTATAAAACCTTATTTAAAAAAACTAAATCAACTCCAGCTCCATAGACCCACGCTCTGGTGGTCATCTTCATGGTGAAACTGCAACATATTAAGACTTTTCATGACGTTATTGCTCCATATACGACAGCGCAGCTTCAGTTTAACGTAAGCCGAACGCTCCGAGGGTCATCAAAGTGCATTTTAAAATGTCTATTTTGCGTTAAAAACAGCGAAAACCTTAATTCTGATTTACTGATGTTAATATTCTCAAGATTTGGGTCATCAAAACCTAATGCTGTGTGGACTTTAAATCTCCTAAATGCATTTATTTGACTTTTCTTTAAGGATTTCTGTCATTAGTGGGAGCAGTCAAGCTGGCAGAAGCAATTCAGTGTTAGGAGACGAATATATGAAAATATTGGGATTAGGATTAGGGGCATTGTTTGTGTCGGGCTCACCCTGGCCCAGCTCAGCATCTCTTTAGCCTTGATGTTCTCTGGTTCCACCAGCACAGCGAACTTCATGTTCTTGATGGTGCACTCGTGTCCACAGAACACCTTCTACAAACAGACAAGCTCGTTTCAACTATCTTTAAGTCAGCGTTAGTCCTCGGGGCTTAAAATTTTTTAAATTATGAAGTGGGGAGGGGAGATAATTCCTCTATTATACTGTAAATTATTGTTTTTATTGATTTAATTGGTGAGGTCATGATGACAGCTGTTAACCCCGTGAGGTGTTTCCTTCAGCCCACTAACCGTCTCCGGGGGAAGGGTACCGAGCACCTGGGTGAGGTTGTGGTGCATCTGATTCGCAGAACCTTCAAAAAAACGCCCGCATCCACCGATGAACATTGTATCTCCTGGCAACCAAAGCAAAGGATGAGAGTTTATTTACTGATCAGGACCTTTGAAAGTGAGACGCTGAAATCTGATCTACGCTCACACACCTGTGAACACAGCGGGATCGTCGGTGCACTCATCCTCCCAAACGTAGAAGCACACGTCTCCTGAGGTGTGGCAGGGAGTGCACAGACAGCGCACATTGATGGAGCCGAACTAGACAAAAAGACAAACTTTAATCATGACAGACGTGTGAAATTACCATTAAAGTGTCTTAATCTGAGGGTTACTTTCAGTTTCTGATTGTGTGTGACTTTATCTGTCAGCCCCTCGATCCGATCATCTCCGCCGTACACCTTCAGGGCAGGAAGTTCCTTCCGCAGAGGCTCGTTCCCGCGAGCGTGGTCCCTGTAGCAGACAGAAGCTGAGCAGAGAGGGACGCGCCTGGTTTTCACAGGCAGACATCGGTTTTTGTCAACATCGATCTTACCAGTGATGGTGCGTTGTGAGGACAGCAACAAGAGACAAGCCTTCTCTTCTCACTATCTCTAACAGCTGGTGAGAAAACAAACAGATCGTCAACAGGCTTTTAGTTTCATAGAATGAATGATCAGTTCAGGGTGTAACAAGCTTTTCATTTTGACGTTCTATATGTAAGTTTTCAGATTTCTCGTTCAATGTTTGGGTCCCTTTTCTTTTGATTTCTTAGTATATTTACAGTGAATTTGCTCAATACACAATAACAAAAATCACCCCAAAGAGAAAACTGCACATGCCACTTGAGCAAAAGAAGGCTGAAACTAATATTTGAGCACACACCTGTGGGTTCCCAGTCAGTTACTAAAAGATAAATATGGTTAAAAACTTGAACTAAAATCTTGATGAAGTGTGGGAACCAAAAGTTCCCATTATGGTGATGCTGCTCATCTTTTATATATAAAATAACTGTGACAAACACTTTGGTCAATAGAGCAATTTAATTATATATTTATTTTATTAGATTTTAATGAATTAACAATTTAGTTTTCATTTTCTAATTAATTTTTGTGCACTTCTAATCAGTCCAAGACAAAAATTTCATACTTTCATTTTTTTTTTAAGACTGTGCAAGGATCTTATTAATTAGGAAAACAATTTCTAGAGTATTTTCACTTTATTGTGTCATATTCTTCTTAATTTTACCTCATTTGTGTTTGTTTTTCTAACATAATACTTCTAATTCTTAGCTTTATTGCCTTATTGTGAATTGTGACTGATGTAAAATCAATCAAAGTGTAAGTATTTTCATCTTTCGGTGCAAATGAGCTTCTCTGACCCGGTGAGGAACAGCTGGATCCACAGCTACAGCCTGTTTGCCCCTCTCTTCTATCACCAGGTACATGTAGTTGTCTTCCAGGATGGAGATCACCTTTACCTTCATGACACCTGCTCACGCATGCGCACAGCAGTACGCGACGCTTCACGAATTCTGTGCATTAATAGACACTGTTCAACATATCTGTCTCTCGAAGCAGCAAATAAATCCCTTGACCTGTGTAAATCATTTGTATTAAGCTTGGAAAAACACAATAATATATTTATTTTTGACATTACAGCCACCATAGATTTAAGTTGAACACTTTGTTTCTGCAGCTCTGACGTGAATAAACCTAAACAAATACATCGTTTACAAAGAAACGAACTGTACCTGACGGGAACTGTGCCGGAGCTGGTGCTTTATTGTTGCCCAGCTGTGATTTCCTTCTCAAAGTTATCCAAGATCCATTAACGATGCAATTCAGAACAGGAAGTAATCGCTACATCAAAGAGTCGAGCGTCTCGTCAGCGCAGACATTTTAATCGAGCCAGAATCATTGAACATCTCTGAACCTTTTTGTGTGAAAGCTGATTTTATATTGAGGTTATATTTTTATTTAAATATGTCTGCATACTTTGTCATTGTAGTAGGTCATTATGTCGAAACGATCTGTTCATTGAGGAGATGGCTGCCATCACTTTTCATTTTGGTAACTTTTATACTTTTTTTTTGGCATTAGGATGTCTTAAATTCTTTTAAAAACATTACTCTTTCAAACCAATTTCAGTATATTTTTGTCTTCTAATGCTTCTTTTGCTGCATTAAGCTACACGCTAGAAATCCATTATTGTCATTTAACTAAACTTTCATTTGTAGCTCCCACTTTTTCCTTTTCCTACTTTAATCCATTTCACTACTTTTAGCCTCTGCCATTTTACTTCATCTTGTAGCTACTTTTTGGTATATTTAGCTAGTATTTTGCCACTTTTTGGCTTTAGCTAGTGTTCTGTTCCTTTCTTTCTTGGTGTTCTAGCTTTAGCTAAATATTCACTCAGCGTTCAGAGTACAATCTTGTAGGAAATACATTTCTCTACTTAATTCCTGATTTATTCAGAAGCGATGACTGCTTTGTCCAACATGTGGAACTGAACATTGATTTGCAAATGTAAAAAGTTATTTTAAATTAACACCGTTTTAAATTTTAGAAGACTTCAGCTGCAGCTTGTTGCTTTAGCTCACATGACCAGTGTATCAAACCTCTATATAAAGTAGTTATGAGCTCCACACACACAATGTATACAAAATGAAATACAAAAACGATTTAACATATGAAAGCACATTCAAAAATGAAAACTTTCTTACAACAGATGTGTTTTATTGCTTTTTCCAGAGATTGTGCAGAATTTTATAATAGTTTTAAAAGCACAAGAGGTTCAATGTCTGCTAAAAGTAATGTTTATTGTTGTGGTCAAAAAACTTTTATTTTTAAAACGTAGTGGTGTTGTATTTTACTCAAATAGTTTTTAAGCACAAATGGAAGTAAATAATGATGTGATGAGACATTCACAGTCGGAACAGGACATGGATATAGACTTAGAGTAAGAAATTACTACTTATATCAAATCTATTCACAGAAATTTTACACATTGACCAGTTTGTTCCTTATGTGGCTCCTTGCCTTGTGGACACCAAATGAAACTGCTGGCGCATCAATATATTAAACTACATCGCACTAAATAAGACTCTTAAACATTTACATATTATTTTTTTCTTTCCTTTAAGCATCTAACTCATGGCCAAAGATTCATTAAAACTTTCGCATCAACATGATCCAAACAAATCAAAACAAAGCGTTTTGAGCTTTAATACGACTAAACTTAAAAGTGTGTACTTCCAGTAAAAGTGAATGTAGTGGATCCATTTAAAATGGCCGAGAGGATAAGTTGTTCTTTAGTATACAATGATGGATCTGCAGCGCTGTGAGCCGTTAAAATGAACATGAACGTGTTGGGACTTCAATCCTTAGGAACTCGGAAACCATCTTTTTCTTTTCGAAGACTTCTCATAGTTTCAATTGGTACCGTCTGCTTCACGTGGTCTTGGACTGACTTCTCCCTGGATTAGACATAAAAAGAATACAAGTGAGTCACTAACTTTAAATAAACTATAAGCCTCCAGTGTTCAGACCAGGATGTACATACTTTACTCTCATAAATGGATTGTATGTGAATTCATCTGCCAAAGTGGATGGGATGGTTGGCTCTCCGTCGCTGCACTTCTCCTACAGGAAAATAAAGCAGATGGAAAGAGGTTACATTTATATGTTTAGATCATGTTACTGCAGCCATGACATGTTAGTCACATACCTTTGCCCAAGCCAGCTTCTTCTGAATGACCTCGTTGTCTGGTTCGACGTGGCGTGCAAATTTCAGATTGCTGACGGTGTACTCGTGACCGCAGTAAACACGCTTGAACAGAATCATAACACAGCTGTTACAATAAGACCACTCTGCAGGGAAACGACTTCCTGACACAAAAGCGTTCCGAGATGCACATTAACCAGCCTGGTGTGAATGCCTTCAACCAGAGGTGATTATTAACAACAGGTCTGCACAGCCTCTAAGCGACTTCTGCTGCAGGTAAAAAGATGGGACGCCTGATGACTTCACAGAACACCGCATCGAAAAATCCAAACTTTCTCTTTAATGTTTTCAAAAAAAACTTTTTTTAAATATCAAATTAGAGCAAAGGAGCACTGATATTTACAGTTTCAGGAGGAAGACGTCCCAAAATTTCTATCAAGGCTTTATACATCTGCTCCGCTGTGCCCTCAAAGAATTTCCCACAACCAGCCACAAAAAGAGTATCACCTGAAAATGCAAAACATGACGGTATAATTATTAAAAAGGGTCATATTTAGCAGTGTTCAGACATCTGATCTGTGCAACAAACTGCACAGTATGCTGTGTGCACTTTGTGCGCGGAGACATGCTATCCAACATACCTGTGAAAACAGCAGGTGGCTCCGAGCTGCTTTCTTTCGTCACATAGTAACAGATGTGACCGGTCGTGTGGCAAGGCGTGAACAGGCACTTCACGTTCAGCGAGCCGAGCTTTAAAAACCAAAAGCGTATCACATTTTTACACGACGTCTCCGTAGGTTTATATCGTGGTGAAGTCTGTGTGGTAATCTCACTTTCAAAGTGTTGGAGTGAGAAACTTTCTTTGTGATGGCATCCACCCTGTCGTCTCCTCCATAGACCTTCAGTCCCGGCATTAGCTTCACCATCTTCTCGTTTCCGCCGGCGTGATCCCTGCAGCAGAAAGCTTCAGCTGTTATTTCTAAATTCAGCAAAGAAATGCAGGGAGGGGTTAATCGTTCTTTAACTGGATGTTTCGCAGTTAATGCTGTGAGTTGTGCATGTTTGGTAGCTGGAATAGATTTGTTTAATTGTTTAAAAAAAAAAAATAATCATGTAGCATACCAGTGGTGATGGGTGGTCAGAACTGTTGTGAGTTTAACGCCATGTTTTCTGACGGCTTCCACAACCTGTTGAAAGCACAAACGAGTCTAACTAAGGTTGTGTTTAAACTTAGCGGAGCAAAGATGGTTGGCAACTGCAACCTGGTTGTTATTTAGGTTGTTAATCATGCAAGTTATTTGTTGCAACTTTCATTCATGATCTGCCAACTGATTTTGGTGCTTTTTACGTAAGGCGGCCAATGTCTTTCCTGCTAAGGAACAGTTGGTGTCATAACGTTAAAGGAGCTTTAGAGGGTTAGTACTAACATGCACATTTTAGGAACCGTAGGAGCAAAATCAACGCAGGCGGGTGGAACACATGCAGACTCCACACAGAAAACAAGCACAGATTTAAAACCAAAAGGCTGAGAGGTGAGGCTGCTAATCCCCTCACAGCTGCTTCCTATTAAATACATTTTTATAAATAATACTTTCAATCCCTTATAAGCAGCATCTTAACGACAGGTGGAAATATGGACCACCTCTGTGCTTAATAGAATAAATACAGACCTTTATCGGCTCCACTGGGTCAACAATAGCTGCTTCTTTGGAGTCTTCATCGATCAGCAGGTACATGTAGTTGTCACTGAGAGCTGGGAGAAGTTCGACCCTCATGTTGGTTTGTTGGACCAGATGAGACTTCCTCACTGCGCCGTGAAGGAGAGCGACTGCCTGGCCCTTGGCTTCGACAGGTGCTTTGGTATTATAAAGGGAAACAAGACAATATTTAACAAAAAAATCTGGGTGGAAGATCAGATTCTCAGTTAGCCTTCTCCACTGTTTGCTGGTATGACGTCACAGACACCAGGAAACTCGCTGGACGACACTGAAAGTAAACAACGTCATTCATTTCAAGTTAGTGCCTTTATTTAACGATTTAAACAACATCCACACGGAGATATTAAAGCTACGGAATCAGCAGAGTCACTTTAATAGTCCTCCCCTCGAGGATAACACGAATATGAGGTAAGCTAACGTGCTACCTGTTAGCATGCTAAGACAAAACAGAGCTGACGTACCTCGTTTTAACGCTGAAGCAGCTCCTCTAAGAGTCCAGGCTCTTCCTACAAGTGACTTTAATACCATTACAGTGACTCACGACAGCCTTATCAGTTTGTGCGAACCAGAAAAGTTCGGTTCGGGTTCGGTTCCGCCACCGCCCCCTTTTCAACATTCACCCAGACCTTACCAATCAAGTCCAGAGGATGACGAGTTATTTAAAAAGTGGAATATTATAATTATTGTTGCATAAACAGTGACAGGAACGCCATAAATATATATATAGTTATAGAAAATGGGTAATTTACTGTGAAATATTTTTAAGTAAATACATTTGGGAAAAACTGCGAGAAATGAGCATTTTTGACTGGAGGATTTATGTCCTCTCTGACTCGCCGTAGTAGGTAAATAATTCCACCGGCGTTCATGGTCAAAGTCCAGTTAAACTGGAAGCTTAATGCGCTAGAACTACATTTAGACACTTTAATTTTTTTTCGCAATGACAGCACGAAATATATCTCAGTTTTGGGAGTGGGGGAGGAAGATTATTTGCGTTGGGAGAAACTATGCAGAACACGCCAAGGAGCTGAAAAACGCGGTTCCGACAGAGCCCGTGTTGTTCCTGAAGCCTCCCTCTGCGTATGTTAGGGAGGGCTCCCCCATCCTGGTGCCTTCGTACACCAGCAGCCTGCACCACGAGGTGGAGTTGGGGGTGGTCATCGGGAAAGGGGGTACAGCCATCCCGCAGTCCACGGCCATGGAGCACGTGGCGGGCTACGCGCTGTGTCTGGACATGACCGCCCGGGACATCCAGGACGAGTGCAAGTCCAAAGGTCTGCCCTGGACCCTGGCCAAAGCGTTCGACACCTCCTGCCCCGTCAGCGACTTCATCCCCAAAGAGCGCATCCCGGACCCGGGCCACGTCCAGATGTGGCTGAAGGTGAACGAGCAGCTGCGGCAGAGCGGCTGCACCTCGCACATGATCTTCCCCATCCCCTTCTTGATCAGCTACATCAGTGACTTCATCAGCCTGCAGGAGGGGGACCTGATCCTGACGGGGACCCCTGAGGGGGTCTCTGCGGTGCAGGAGCATGACGAGCTGCAGGCTGGGATCCAGGACGTTGTTACCATGAGTTTCCGAGTGGACAGACGGGGTCACTGAGGACAAACAGGACCACCGAGGACAGACCCACTGAGAGACATCAGCAGATGGCAGTGCTGTCTTCTTACCGCCTTCTTGGGGGTTTGACACATGTCGCACTTAGCTCATCTGAATCCAAATGTAAAATATCATGCAATGGATCTTTTTGATGATTGAATGAATAAAATAACATGCCAAGTAAAATACATGTCCAAGTTCAAGGTTCTGTATTGTCATTCTCATCACGTGGTACATGAGGTGGAACGAAATTGTGTACTCAGGGTCCCATACCAAAAACGTGTCAGTGGGAATGCTGCAAGCTGAATGACTGCTGAAGTTTGTTGAAGAAGCTGTGAGATGTTAAAGGCAAACCAAGCCGAAGCGATCACACATGTTAAACTGAGCCAAATGGAAGAAAGCTAAAACAAGCAGAACAGTAGCTAAAAAGGTCAAATAGGAAGTAGTGAAAAGTTAATGCAATTAGACCGACAGCTTAAACAATCACCAAACTTTAAATCAGCAAAACTGTAGCATAAAGCTAAAATTAACTAAACGGCAGTTAAAAGTCAAGCTGAACAGAACAGTAGACAAAAACTGAGAGAAGAGTAGAACAATAGCTAAATGCTACAATCAGACAAATATGTTACTAATAGCAAAACTACCTAAAAGCTAAAATAAACAATTGTAGCTATAGTTAGTTAAAAAAAATGGCTAAAAGCAAAAGCCAACAAAACTGTAGCTCAAAACTAAAACAGCAGCCAAAATCTAAAAGAAGCAGACAAGTAGCTAAAGACAAACCAAAAAGAACATTACAAGCTATAGCTGTTTAGAAAAATGTTACAAAAACCTGAAATTTACAAAACTGTTGTCAAAACGTAAAATTTATTATTAAAAGTCAAAATCTGCTAAACTAAACTAGACTAAAAACATGTAACTTAAAATAAATTAATTAATTAAAATCTATTAAATCATAGCTATAAGCTAAAATTGGAAAACTCATGGCTAAAAGGTAAAATCAACAAAACTGTAGCTAAAATCACAAATTAGCAAAACATTAGCTAAAAGCTAATTGGTGCATGAGAAGACTAAACTAAATGAAGTCTGCTGAAGTCGTTTTCAAACAATCAATGTTTTAAAGAAACTGAGGAGATTTTCATGTATTTCTGAGGGACGTCTTGTAAAACTGTGTTTTAATAAAAGTTGGAAATGCTAAAAGTCCGAGCGCTAATTCTGGTTGAGCTAAAAGTTTTGATATCAGAAGGGTTAAAAAAGGCACAAAGAAGCCGACTCATCAATCACACTGTTGTTTTGCAGGTTAGCTTAGTAAAAAGTGTTGCTGTTCAATGATAAAGTTAGTAATATTTTGTTTGTCCATTTAGTTTCTGCAAATAGTTTATTGAAAGTTGTTGCAGTGGAGTTCCTGAAACTTTATTTCAAAGTCAGCAGCACAAACGAAGAAAACCGAGGCAGCGTCGTGTTTTGCATCTTGACTCAAGGAATAGAGAGATCATCTTCTGTGGTCATAAATATTAAATCTCCTCAGATGTTTTTGTTTTGTCCGATCATTCAGATCTCCTTCATGGATGGCAGCTGTTGACAGCAGCCATTTCCTCTCGTTTTAGCCTGGAGGACACGTCGTCTAGGATTTCAGAGAAGAGTTGCAGATTTAGATTTGTCAGACCATGAGACTTTCCACCTTGTGTCACTTCTTTGAGTTAGCCCCAAGTATGTTCTAGTTTACACAACTATTAACTTTGAACTCTCAGGCTTTTTGTCTTGAGTTGTATTTACAATAAACTTTATCAGGAGTCGTCATGAGCACGAGGTGAAGTTTTAAACTCAACGCTGCTTGAAGGGCCCAGACATTAAAATCCTTTCAAACATGCACAACTTTATACTTGAGATCTGTTAGTTTAAGATTACTGAGCGCTTTTATTATTTTTTTTTTTTTTTTTACAGCAAATAGTAAATCTAGAAAACAATTAATATAACAGGAACAAAGTCCAAAGCTTGACATGTAGAGAGATCTGGCAACCTTCTCACTGAGAGGCGACAGTTGTGCCACTGGGCCATCAGATTCAGCATTTGTGCTCCATTTTTGTATTCTTTTGCTTATTTAGTTGTTGGTTAGCTTTTTGCTACTTTTAGCCTTTAGCCCCCATTCTGCTACTTTCAGCAATCATTTTTTTAAAATTATTTTTAGCTTTTAGTCAACCTTTTGCTGGTTTTAGCTTGTAAATAACCTAATGGTTCTTTTAGCTTCTAGCTGTCTTTTGGTTACTTTTATCTCTTAGTTGACCTTTTTTCTACTTTTATCCATTAGCTAACGTTTATATAAGAAAATAAAAGAAGCCTGTTTAGATTTCAGCTTAAGCTGACCTATTGGTTTCAGCTAGCTTTTTGCTGTTTTTAGCTACCCTTTTGCAATCTTTAGCTTGTAATTTTTTTGTAATTGTAATTTGTCTGTAATTGTTTACAATTCTTGTAATTCATTTAGCTACTTTTAGCTTCTACCATTTTGTTACTTTTAGCATTTAGTCAGTATTTTGTTACTTTTAGTTAGTTTTTAACCTTGTTTAGCTACCGTTCTGCTTTTTAGCTTTTAGCTATCCTTTTGCTACCTTTAGCTTCTAGCTACCATTTTGTTACTTTTAGCATTTGTTTTGTTACTTGTAGTTAGTTTTTAATTATTCTGTTTTTTAGCTTTTAGCTAGCATTTTGTTACTTTAAGTCTAAAATCCAAAAGTAAACTTTTTTGGACTTTTACCCACTATTGTGCTGCTTTCAGATTTTAGCTTCTAGCTAGCCTTTTCATACTTTTAGCTAGCATTTTGCTGCTTTTAGCTTTATGTACCCTTTTACTACATTTAGTTAGATTTTTGCAACTTTGAGCTAACCTTTTGTTACTTTTGTCTTTTAACAAACATTTGGTGGTTTTTAGGTTTGGTTGCTCCTTTTTAGCTTTTAGCTGGTATTCTACTTTTAGTTTAACAATTAAGTTTCAGCTTAAAAAAAAAAAAAAAACGTTGGCTACATTCACCTCCTGTTAGATATTTTTTGTGATTTCCCTTCAGCGTGTGTTCGTGTCTGTTTTGCTACAATGTCGTCACATTAGTTGTCCATATGCAGTTTTTTGTCCTCTCACGGTTCAGCTCTCCCACAGGAATCTTTCCAACATCAACCAGGACCTCCATCACCCTGCAGCAGCTGTAACCTGAGCGTACTCCACCCGTAGGGCAGGTTCCCAAACCTACAAACTCAGGAGACTCAGAGGGTATATGTGTCCATCGTAGTAAGTTATCACAGACTGAGCTAAATCTGTGGTTTGTTTCACTCAGAGTAAGATAATACGTACGTTCCCAACAGGTGTCTCCCAGAGACATGAATCCCACTGTCCCCGTCTTTTGTTGGACTCAATGTATCACGCTCTCACAGCCCCTAACAATGGCTTCAAAGCTCCGGCTCAGCTCTGATTTAACGTTCACCACATTAACCGGCCTGCTGTCATCAGCCAGGAGCATGAGAAGCTACACTTGATGCTTCTCAGGGGAGGAGTGTGTGTGTGTGTGTGTGCGTGTGTGTGTGTGTGTGTGTGTGTGTAGGGAGGGAGACCACAGGCTTCCGATACAATGTACACTAAAGGTGATGTCAGTCGTGTTGTGAAATTGAGCCAGGTGTAAGTGAGCCAAAGAGCAGAGCTTAGAGGAAAACTGGAGTTAACACACACACACACACACGCACGCACACACACACACACACACACACATACCACCCTGCATGGCTGCGCGTCATACACCTACCATCTAAATACAGTCCCTCTGTGTGAGAGGTCAAATGACAAGACGTGAAGGTTTCGCTTCAGTTTTCATTTTTACTTCTCAAAAATTGCATCAAAGATTTCAAATAAAAACTCATCTGTTCATTTATTTGTTTTTATTATGATTTAGGACAGAGCTGTTCAACTGGCGACCCGCGGGTCATTTCCGGCCCTCGGTTGACTTCACTCCGGCCCACCAATGAGTTCATGATTTTCTTTTAATTTTTATTCTGGGTTTGTATTTTAGGTTCTGTTTATTGCATTTATGATTCAATAGAGTAAAACAAACACATTAAAAAAGGTAACAGATCATTGTGATACTTAGTTTATTTACATCATGACTTCAACTGCTGGATGTCCGGCCCCTGAGCTGCTGGCTTTCAGTAACTGTGGCCCCCTGAGCAGTTTTATTGAAAAGCCCTGACTTGGAAGCTGTGATGTCTGTAAGAATGCAACAAAAATTAGCTAAGTTAATAAAAGTGTTCCCTCTCTTAGATAAACTTTCTGTTTTATGGCTTTAAAACCTGGAATTTAATTTCATTATTCTCTAATTCAACCAAATATTTCAGATTACTTTGGTCAAAAGAGGGAAAATCTTGTTTCTGAACAATATAAAACCAAGAAATGGTGCATACAGCTCCATCTGTTGGATCAAGGTTTGGCTTTGACTGGACCATTTTCTCCTTAAACCTTCGGCGTGTTTCTTCAGCGGTGTGTTCAGGGACACAAACCTGCGAGAAGGTGGACTTACGTCCCAGTCTCAAGTCTCTGTAAGGCTCAAGCAGGTTTTCTTTAAAAAAAAAATCTATATTTTGATCCATCTTTCTTTTCTTCAGCTCCAACCTGTTTGCAAGTTCCAAAGCATCCCACAGCATGATACTGCCACCGCCATGCTTAACTGTGGGGATGTTGTTTGTAGTTTTTTTCTCTAGCACATTAAAAATAAACGAAGCTAAGTACTTTACAGTTAAACTACAACAGTAAAAACAAAACAAAAAAAGAGACACACTGACAGAACAAATAAAAGCTACAATTAAACACACAACACACGTCAGCTCCACAGTATCTGGATCTAATGCTCCTCTCAGGTCGACACTAATGAAAAGTGCACGTAACATTTTCCTAAATGGCCACAAAGTTAAGTTTTATTCTCATGAACCTGTGAATCCTTCCTGGATCCTGGAACCCTCCTCTCCAGGCCTGAAGCCTCTACAAGCTGAATATTTACCTGTTTCCTCCCGAGTCCAGCCCCCTGTAAATACTGTAAATATTGTAAATAAATCAGTTTTTTACCTTCGGTCTTTTGAGTCTTCCCGGGTTTCCGTTAACACTACTCTGAGAAAATGAACCCAAATGTGTCATTTATAACTTTATACGTCAAGTGTCGTTAA